ATTTGAATACCCTGTTTGCCCCCACCAGCACCACCACAGTTCTCATCTTTTATGCCTCAGACCTTCTTTGTCCAATACAGTAGCTATCACCACATGTAACTATTTAAATTTAAATTTTTTTTTAATTTTAATAGTTTTAATTAAAATAGTTTTAAGTTTAAACTATGTGAATCGGCCGGGCGCGGTGGCTCACGCCTGTAATCCCAGCACTTTGGGAGGCCGAGGCGGGTGGATCACAAGGTCAAGAGATCGAGACCATTCTGGTCAACGCGGTGAAACCCCGTCTCTACTAAAACTACAAAAAATTAGCTGGGCATGGTGGCGCGTGCCTGTAATCCCAGCTACTCAGGAGGCTGAGGCAGGAGAATTGCCTGAACTCAGGAGGCGGAGGTTGCGGTGAGCCGAGATCGCGCCATTGCACTCCAGCCTGGGTAACAAGAGTGAAACTCCGTCTCAAAAAAAATAAATAAATAAATAAATAAATAAACTATTTGAATCAAACTCCACTTCTTACACTAGTCATTTTAAGTGCTTCCGAGTCACATGTGGCCAGTGGCTACCATATCAGAGCAGGTAAGATTTAGTTCCATGATTGTAGAAAATTCTATCTCACAGAGCTGCTTCAGATACTACACTATTATTTTTATTTCAACTTTGATTAGACTCCTTGAGGAAAGGGGCTATGTCTTATTTATCTTTTTATCCCCAGTTTATATAGCTAAGTGTGTGAAAACACACTAAGTACTCACTATACTGACAGTCCTCAACTTATGATTTTGAACTGTACCAGGGTGTGAAAGCAATATGCTTTCAGTAAAAACTGTACTTTGAATATCCACATAGCCATTCTGTTTTTCACTTTCAGTACAGTATTCAATCAATTACATGAAATATTCAACATTTTATTATAAAATACACTTTGTGCTAGATAATTTTGCCCAACTGTAGGCTAATGTAAATGTTCTGAGCATGTTTAAGGTAGATGAGGCTAAACTATTCTGTTCAGTAGGTATATTAAACGCATTGAGCTATTATGTTCAATAGCTATGTTAAATGCATTTTTGGCTTACAATCTTTTCAACTTTGATAGGTTTATTGGGAAGTAATCCCATCATAAGTTGAGGAGCCTCTAGATACCTAACTGAGTTTCTCAAACATAAGCAGATCACTCTCTCCACTTTCCTATCCCATACATACACAGAGACGTGCAAACACAAACCAATAATACACAAGACAACCTTTCTCATGGGGCAGGGGGCAGGGGTGAAAGGGGACACTGTCCAGAGGAAGGAGGGCTACGTTCCAGTACTGGAGGTGCTGGAAGCTAACCATGTAGCCTTGGCCAAGTTATTTTCCACATCTATAAGAAGATAGAATGAAACTCCATGCAGCTTAATTTTAGAACTTAAATCACCTTGCACCAAAGAAAATCAAGTATTCTGCCCAAAAAGTCTTTGCACGTGTCAGGAAACACACCTGCTAACACTGATGAGTACCTTGTATTAAACAGAATCCATTTCCAGGTCCCAAGCTATCACGATTAGAGTCACTTTTGTTCTCTGAGCATGTGGAATTTTTCACCTTTACTTTGGGGCTCAACTAAAGACTTAAACTTTCAGGCTTAAAGATTAAGTTTCTTCCATGTGCTAAAGTAAGAACTGGATACTGTGTCCATATCTGATCAGAGACACAAGGACAGGTTTCTTGAGTATTTGAATTTAACATAAATTGTCCCATCAGTTTCTATTAGTGCTAAGCCTGAAAATCGAGCAAATAGTACAAAACAGAACAAAGAAAATATTTATAAAGAATACTTTATAGGCCAGGCACGGTGGCTCACGCCTGTAATCCCAACACTTTGGGAGGCCAAGGTGGGCAGAATACTTGAGGCCAGGAGTTCGACACAAGCCTGGCCAACGTGGCAAAATCCTCTCTCAACTAAAAATACAAAAAAATTAGCCAGGCATGGTGGCGGTCACCTGTAGTCCCCGCTACTCAGGAGGCTGAGGCAGGAGAATCGCTTGAACCCAGGAGACAGAGGTTGTAGGTGAGCCGAGATCATGCCACCGCACTCAAGCCTGGGGGACAGAGCGAGACTCCATCTCAGGAAAAAAAAAAAAGGAATATTTTATGAAATGTGTTCTTAATTCAGTCTACGTACTTTGTCATATTTAACTGCTATAAAAATCTGTATTGTCCAAAAACCTCATCATAATAACCTTCACACACACATTCACTAAGATTTGCAAACCCTTACATGGTTTTAAGACCAGCCAAGAACAAATCCAATCTGAATTATTGGCCTGCCTTCCTTTAAAACTTGTAAACATGGCAAACGGACCAATGGCAGTTCAGGCATTCTGCAATAAATATGTGCTAAATTTGTCAATTCCTGTGACATCATGATTTTACTCCTCATTAAGTATTTATATCATCTCTCTCGGTGAACAGAATCAACTATTAACAATGGCAATTCAGGCCGGGCACGGTGGCTCAAGCCTGTAATCCCAGCACTGTGGGAGGCCGAGGCGGGTGGATCACGAGGTCAAGAGATCGAGACCATCCTGGTCAACATGGTGAAACCCTGTCTCTACTAAAAATACAAAAAATTAGCTGGGCATGGTGGCGCATGCCTGTAATCCCAGTGACTCAGGAGGCTGGGGCAGGAGAATTGCCTGAACCCGGGAGGCGGAAGTTGTCGTGAGCCGAGATCGCGCCATTGCACTCCAGCCTGGGTAACAAGAGCGAAACTCTGTCTCAAAAAAAAAAAAAAAAAAAAAAAAAAAATGGCAATTCCATCTACTTGTATTTCCCAAATACCAACAAGGCAGTGCCATTTAGTGGATGACAACTAAACACTTTTTTGGAAAATGAAGTAGGGAACACATGCAAAGGCCTAACAATAATAAAAAGACTTCCCTATAGACATGATTGCGTCTGTAATAAAATCAGACACTAAAAATCAAGCAATGTTGATTGCACATGGTTAGTCCTACAAAGTGCCTTGCAATTGGTCAGTGTGTGAGTTCAACTGCTGGACAAATGACTGAACATAACTAAAATGTTCATTCCGAACCAAAAAGAACAAAACTCTATAAGCTGGGCACTACCAAACATCTTTTACAAAAATGGAAATAAAGAAGAATCTGTTTGCAACGTGATCCATCTATAACATAAAGGGACCCAACCATTCCATCAGTAAAAGCTTTGTGAGTCTGTATGTCAAAGCACTGGAAGGAATACAGAGATGAAGAAAACATGGTCCCTGCCCTAAAGCTTCTCATAATTCAGAAGAACGGACAGAATTACAACCCAGAAAAATAACTGGTAAGTTTCACTATGATGTTGCTAAAGAGCAAACTGGAAGGACTCAAGGTGGGTGGGGGTCAGTTACAGAGATACCTTGAAGGGAATGTTTAAAGCTATGTAGCCAGAGAAAGGAAGAAAAGGGTATGTAGGCCTGGAACGGTTGCTCACATCTCTAATCTCACCACTACGGCAGGCCAAGGTGGGTTTGGGACCCTTCAGCCCAGGAGTTTGAGACCAGCCTGGGCAACATGGAGAAACCTCAACTCTACAAAATTTAAAAAAAAAAAAAAAAATCAAAAATTAGCCAGGCATGGTGGCACACAGCTGTAGTCCCAGCTACTTGGGAGGCTAAGGTGGGAGGATTGCTTGAGCTCAGGAGGTGGAAGTTGCAGTGAGCCAAGATCATGCCACTGCATTCCAGCCTGGGCAACAGAGCAAGACTCTGTCTAAAAAAAGAAAAGAAAAGGGTGTGTATATGTATACAGGAGAGAGCAGAACTGTAGGCGTTGGGGTGGAGTGGTCAGAAAGCTCAGAGGATGGTCTAGGCAGATGAATAGCATATGTAAAAACCACCCAGAGGTTAGGGATGCTACACCTGTAAGTACTGTATATTTAGGAAAATTGCAAACGAACAGTTTTGCATAAGATGCATACATTTCAAATGTTCGAGATGACTCTGAATCCCTGCAGAGAAAGTTACTTCCCACTCCCAACAGTCTTTCACCAGGTGTAGTGGTCAGCGGACCTAAAGAAAAGATCTCTGCGGTGGAACTTGCATGTTTAACAAGGTCCCAGACAATTCTCCTGCACACTTAAGGTGGAGAAGCAGAGATGCATTTTGAGATGCAGAATTAGCAAATTACATGCGGTTCTCAAACTTTGCTGCACGCTGGAATCACTTGGGCATCTTTAAAAAATATACTGAAGTCTGGCTTTCACCCACTAGACATTCTGACTGTATTGGTCTGGGATGCCACATGGGCATCAGAAACCTTCAAAAGTTCCCCCAGGTGATTCTACGGTGTAGCAAAGGAGGAGAGCCACTGCCCTAATTGTTAAGCACTTGGAACTGTGGAGTCGGACTGCTTCGGTTCAAATTACTAGCTATGTGACCTTGGGTAATTAAGTCACCCAACCACCCAGGGACTCAGTCGCCTCATCAGTAAAATGGGGACAATAATCCTACCTCGCAGGTTGCTGTGAAATCAGACGTGGTTAACGTAATGGCATGATGCCTGGCGGATAAGAATCGCTTAATGGGGGTTAGCTGTTTACTCTCATTATCAACTCTTCCTCATCAGTGTCACTGTGCAATGGGCAGTATCGTCCCCACTGGGCGGCAGCAACTCGCCTACCCTTTCTGCTGGACCAAATTCTTTGCCAGAGTTGTCTCGCTCAGCTCCAGACCCGCCCCCTCCCCCAGGCTGCCAGGAGAGGGCTTGGCCCGGCCGGGGCAGCTCCTAAGGATTAGACCGGGTTTACACAGACTCGACAGCAGCCGCCCACTCCAGGGCCGAGATTTCCCCGCCCCCGTGGGTCTCCCAAAAATTTGGAGATGCGCTTCCAAAGGCCGGGCCCCTGGAGCACCCAGGGTCGAGAAACAAGCCTCAGCCGTCCCCAGACCGCCCGGAGGGGAGGAAAGGAAAGGAGAGGGGAGGGTCCGGCCGCGGCGGAGCCGGCTGCCCAGTTACCTGAGGCTACGGGCGGGGCCCGCATCGCTGGGGCGGGCGCCGCCGCCGCCGCCGCCGGCCGCACTCGGCCTTCCGCCTCACGCGACCCGTGCCATTGGGCCGGCGCTTTCACTGCCCTGGCCGGCCGTCCTCAGGCAGTCCGTCGTCCACCCGTCAGCCACTCTCCCAGGGCGCCAAGGGACGACGAAGGCCAGTCGGGCCAGCCGGCTGGGCTCTGCTCAGGCAACTTCCGACTGCCAGGGGCGGCGGCGTCAAATAACTCCCTAGCCAAGTGGGCCACTACGCGTGCGCGGTGCGCCAGCTCAGAGCCTTCTGCGGGGCTGAACCGGTGGCGTCAAATAATTCCCGAGACACGGAGCCGGAAGCTGCGCCTGCGCAGCTATCCCAGATCGCCGCGCGGGGCGCATTCCGTCCTCCCTTTCCGGATCAAATGGCGAGGGAGGAGTGAAGTGACGGATCCACCTACCTCATCGCAGCGCAGAGGAGGCACTCCACCTGCGTCTTTAGGAATGTTACGGCAATACACTCTACCTGTTTTCGGTGCAGGCGAAGTAAGGGGCTTGTCTGCAAGATTCTGGCTCCCACAGAGGCTCTAGGAATTTCTCCCATCCCAAAATTTCAGCACCCTTCCTCTGAAATGATGTTCTTTACTCGCCGCCCTCTTATTACATGGGCACATCATTAATTATGAGCAGTGCTCTATTTCAGGCCTGGTGTGGGTTACAAAGGTGAATGGAACATAAGATTTAGAGCCTCTCATTAAAGAGCTGAATCTGATAGAGATAAGGCAGTAATAATAATAGTAAGAGATACTACTTTGAGCACCTGCAATGCTCCAGACATTTTGTCAACGGTACCACTTTCAATAACTTGCTTTCACTTCAACGAAGAAAATAATAAGTACCATTGGAGAGGTACAGTTTAAGTGCTTTGAGAGTGTAAAGGAGGAAACTTGGACTGAGCGAGAAGAGGAGGGAGGAATGGTGGAATTCTTCACGAAGGACCTGGCCTTGGGTCTGACCTTGGGAATTCAGAGAGAGAGGGGTCAGGGTGTTGAGTAGAGGTGAAGACACGGGTGTCTGAAAAGCAGAAAGGAGCAAAGAAGATTCTGACTCCTCACTTCGGAAGTTAGTCTCTTCTAACTGAGGTGAGGAATGGGTGATAAGGGAACTAGTATCATCATAGAAAGGGTAAAATTGAAGAGTGTTCCATCGAGACCACACCTCAGCCCCCAGGAAAATAGCTACAGGAAGGAAAAGGAAAAAGAAAAGTAAGAATGTGCTAGCATAGGAACAAGGTTATTTACAGGACACTGTGGATCCAAGCAATACATTTCAGTTCAACGCAGTGTGACAAATTATGTAGCAGGCTAACTCAGTATCTATTTCAACCACTCCCTCGCCTTCCTACACTACAGGGTCTGGAAAGCAAAGCACACAGTTCTCTACCTTCCTTGCTGCTAAGGGTGGCAGTGAGAAAAAGTCCTCGCCAATAAGATGTAGGCAGAAGTATCAAAGGAGACCTTCCCTTCCTTCTTCCCTTGGAGAAGTTTGTGTCCTTCACTTTTCCCCTGCTTCATGCTTGGAACTAGGCGACACCTGGTACACAGCAGCCTAGCGGTCATGAGGAGGACTGTGCTAAGGAAGGTGGAGCAGAAAGACAGGAGACTGCCTGTTTGGGTCATACTCAAGCAGCTACACAAACCCTGTACTACCTTCCTGTCTTATGGGGGTGAGGAATCTTACGTATACCAGAGTTTGTTGAGTTTTCTGTTACTTGTAACCAGATGCATTCTAACACAATACTGAACACCTGTAACAGAGAGGGAGAGGTGACTAACTGGAAGAACAATAGGTGATGGGAATTAGAAAAGTGACAGGCACAGAAGATGGGAAAGCTGTCCAAAAGCCCTTGGGGAGATGACAAACATACAGCTATCACCCTCCTAGGGGTTTTAATTCATCCCTGAAATTCTGCTTCTAGGAGGAAAGCTGTTAAATTTTTTCCATTAATTAAAATGGGCAAGATTCTGTTCAATTCCAACCTAAGGCCCCTAAATATTTTTAATAGAAAATAATATATCAATGCAACAGAAAATTATACAAGCAATAAGTAACTTTGCTTAAAATACGGCTTTTACATAAAATGTAAGACATTAAGACTTATTACACTGGCCAGAAAGACAAGATTTAATATTAGGTGCAAGTTGGTGGAGGAGAGATGCAAGTGTCGTTCTTTAAAAGATGGTTTGTTTTTTAAGAGACAGGGCCTCGCTATGTTGCCCAGGCTGGCTTCAAACTCCCGGGCCCAAGCCATCCACCTGCCTCAGCCTCCCAAGTAGCTGGAACTAAAGGCACACATCACTGTGCCTGGCATAAATGATATGTTTTTTCTGCGCTTTTTGCTAATTTTTTAAATCTTTTGAGGGCTTCACTTCAACATAAAAATAAAACACACATACACACATATACCTTAAGGGAAAATTAAAGACTAAACATTAGAAACATATGAGAAAAGCACACATGTACAATAAACTTAAGAGACACATGAGATGCAAGACAGTAAAACATTTGGGATTCTCCAGAGTGCACAATTCAGATTTGTTCCACAGCATGATCTCTGACTAAAAACATTAACTAAATTGGAGAATGTTTTCATCTCAAACTGTAATGTCAAAATATCACTTTGTATAGTGTCTTTGGAAAGGCACAGCATTGGAAAAAGGAGCAGCAGCAGTATAAGCTTTCGTGACAGACTTTTTTTCCAAAGATGACTACACCAGTCTGTTTCGTTTTATTTACATTGAAAGCATCAACCTGGGAGATGCCACACCAATCTATATGATCCATCCCATGCTTCTCCTTACAATGTAACTGACACTCCTCTTACTGAGAAGTGGGATCAATATTCCTTCTCCTTGAGTCTGGCTGAGCCTGTGAGCATTCCAACCAATAGGGCAAAGTGATGCTATGTGATTGCTGAGGCTAGGTCATAAAGAAGACACAGCTTCTACCAGTCTTGCTCCCTATTACAATGCTCACTGTTGGACCCCAGCCACCATGCTGGGCGAAAGCCCAAGCCACATAAAGAAAACATGAAGAGGTGTTCCAACTACCAGCCCTAGCTAAGGCTTTGCTGATAGTCAGCCAGACATACAACTGAGGAAGCCATCAGATGATTCCAGCCCCAGCTTCAAGCCTCCACCCTCACCTGACACCAAGCTAAGCAGGGACAAACTAACCCTATTGAGAGCAGACCATAAGAGATGTAGATCCATGAAAAAAATATATACATATATATATATATATATATATATATATATATTTTTTTTTTAAAGAGGCTAGGCACAGTGACTCATGCATATAATCCCAGCGCTTTGGGAGGCCAAGGCAGGTGGGTCACCTGAGGTCAGGAGTTTGAGACCAGCCTGACCAACATGGAGAAACCCCGTCTCTACTAAAAATACAAAATTAGCTGGGCGTGGTGGCGCATGCCTGTAATCCCAGCTATTCAGGTGGCTGAGGCAGGAGAATCGCTTGAACCTGAGAGGTGGAGGTTGCAGTGAGCCAAGATTGCACCATTGCACTTCAGCCTAGGCAACAACTCCAACTCAAAAAAAAAAAAAAAATGAGAGAGAGAGAGAGAGAGGTCCATATAGCAGATTCATGAATAAAATAAATACTGTCATTTACCCCAACCAAGTTTTGGGGTAAATTGTATATAGTCACAGTAATTGGAACACTTTTCAAGAACTGTAACTGAGAAAAGTTTCTAACTGAACAGCTGTATGTGAAATACATCTGTAGCCATTTTTTTCTTGTTTTATTTTTCCTTCTTTTTTAATTGTGCAGTACCAGCTTAGGGTAGAAACAGTTGGTCAGACCCATTGCTGTTTCTCCTGAACCTAACGCCATACTGGCATGGTGTGAGTGCTCAGTGAACATGTGTTAGATGAATGGATGGATGGAGGGAGGGTGGGAGGGAGGGAGGGAGGGATGGATGGGTGGGTGGGTGGGTGGGTGGATGGAGGGAGGGAGGGAGGGATGGAGGGAGGGATGGATGGATGGATGGATGAGGAGATGGATAGAAGCTTCATTGGGTCAGTGCTGAACCCACCTTCTTGCTCCTACTGTTAAGTCTTAGTAAACAGTATGCAGCAGATGGTAGTAACACCATTAGATTCAGGCAAGTGGGGTCCCTTGTGCCAGACCCTATGCCTTAAGAGGGTCCTGCACTTTGGACTGTATTCCTCAAAAGTTTTCAAGTGCCCTTCTGGGACTAGCCATGCCATTTAGGAAGGGTGTCTCCGTTGAGATCAGGTCCCATGGAAGCCTTGTTGACCACAATTTTCCACCTTGAAATTTCCTCCTCAAGTGCCTTTGAACCCACTTCCTCCACTCTTGAAAACACCATTTTCCAGGTAGTTCTAATTGTTAGCCCAAGCACTCACTGGGCCTTCACTCATACCCCAGAACACCCTTTCCAGTAAAAAAAAAAAGCCCAATTTACACACACATACTTCTCCTTCTTGGAGAGAGTGTGCCTGCTGTTTTATTTTTAATGCCAGGAAATACATTTAGGGATCAAAAAATAAGAGCAAGCACTGATAATGGATGTTGTCTGAATACTGTGTGCAGGGGCTGTCAAAACATGTTTATTTTGAGAGCTCAGCATGCCACCCTGTTTGCTGGAATCCCTCATTAGGTAGGCCAGTGTCACAGATGGGAAAGTCAACCTGGAAAAGCAAAATACCCGCAGTGCCTCATCCAACGGCCAAACCCTCAGTGGAATTTCATAATAACTGGCCATTTGGGGCAAGTTAAGGAAAAGACTCAGGCTTTTAGCCAGAATGCGTTGGTGACAGAAACCTAACTTATGCTAAAAAGAAATAAATAAAGAGTAATATTGATTGGAAACCTTACGTAATCAAATGAGGGGGAGGGCAGAGATCAAGTCAGACTTGCAAGACAACACCAGGGACTGGAATTCCATTGGGACTCCCTGTCATGTGTCTCTGCCTCTCTCCATCTGCAGACTTCTAATTTGACACTCACTCAGCTTTCTTGCATATGTGAGGAATGCGTGCCAGGTTTACCTCAGTACAAATCTCCATCCATTTTCACTGTATTTTTGTATTTTTAGTAGACATGGTTTTCACCATGTTATCCAGAATGGTCTCAATCTCCTGACCTCGTAATCCACCCGCCTCGGCCTCCCAAAGTG